GTCCCTGGGTTGTACATACAAGTTGTTTGGCTTCTCTATTTCCTATACCATTCTTAACCTCCCCATGTCTATTTCATGCCTACCAATTTTGCTTCCTATTCCCTGTACCTTTCCTTGTATTCTCCTCCTCCCCACTGATAACCCTGTATGTGATCTCCATTTCTGTGATTCTGTTCCTGTTCTAGTTGTTTGCTTAGTTTTTGTTTTTTAGCTTCAGTTTTTGATAGTTATGAGTTTGTTGTCATTTTACTGTTCATAGTGTTTTATCTTCTTCTATTTCTTAGATAAGTCCCTTTAATGTTTCATATAATAAGGGCTTGGTGATGATGAACTCCTTTAGCTTTACCTTATCTGGGAAGCACTTTATCTGCCCTTCCATTCTAAATGAAAGCTTTGCTGGATAGAGTAACCTTGGAGGTGGGTCCTTGCCTTTCATGACTTCAAATACTTCTTTCCAGTCCCTTCTTGCCTGTAAGATTTCTTTTGAGAAATCAGCTGATAGTCTTATGGGAACTTCTTTGTAGGTGACTGTCTCCTTTTCTCTTGCTGCATTTAAGATTCTCTCCTTATCTTTAATCTTGGGTAACTTAATTATGATGTGCCTTGGTATGTTCTTGCTTTTGTCCAATTTCTTTTGCATTTTCTGGGTTTCCTGGACTATCTGGAAGTCTATTTCCTTCGGCAGATTGGGGAAGTTTTCCTTCATTATATGTTCATTTCTTGCTCTTCCTCTTCTCCTTCTGGCACCCCTATGAGTCTGATGTTAGATTACTTAAAGTTGTCCCAGAGGTTCCTAAGTCTCTCCTCAGTTTTTTTGAATTCTTGTTTCTTCATTCTGTTCTGGTTGGGTGTTGATTTTTCCTTTTGTTCCAAATCTTTGATCTGAGTCCTAGTTTCCTTCCCTTCACTGTTGGTTCCCTGTATATTTTTCTTTATTTCACTTTGTATAGCATTCATTTCTTCCTTCATTTTGTGATTGAGCTCAGTCAATTCTGTGAGCATCCCAATTACCAGTGTTTTGAACTCTGTATCAAATAGGTTGCCTGTTTCCTGGTTACTTAGCTCTTTTTCTGGAGTTTGATCTGTTCTTTCATTTGGGCCATATTTCTTTTTCTCAGAGCACCTGTTATGTTGTAAGGGGCAGAGCCTTAGATATTCACTCAGGTGGGACAACTCTCTTTACTGCATTGTGGCACTGTCTGGCGGGGAGGGGTCAGAGAGGGAACAAGGCCGCTTGCTTGCTCCACTCTAGCCCCACTTTCCAACCAACTCTCCTGTAAGACTGAGAGTTTCTCCCGCCTTTGCAACCCCCTCCGTGTTTTATAGCTAGAGGTATTGAGTCGTTAGTTTTCTGGCCTGCCAGCCCCATCTTGCCAGTTTGGTCCTCCACCTTGGTTTCCCTGCCTGCAGCTGCCCATCTCCACCCCTCCTACTAGTCTGGATGAATGTTTCTATAACTCCTTGGTTGTTGGAGTTCCATGCAGTTTGGTTTTCTGGCAGTTCTGGTTGTTTATTTTTTTAAATTGGTTGTTATCCTTCTTTTGGTTGTGCAAGGAGGTCAAGCATTTCTCCCTATGCCTTCATCTTGACCAGAACTCTGGATTATTGCTTAGTTTCCATTTCTGATTGCTCATTATTGATATATAGAAATACAACCAGTTTCAGGTATTTAAATTGTGTCCCGCTAGTTTATTGAATTCATTTATCAGTTCTAATAATTTTTTGGTGGAATCAGTCAGTTTCTCTACATACAATATCATGTCATCTGCAAATACTGATAATTTTACTCCTTTCTTTCCAATTTGGATGCCTTTTATTTCTTCTACTTGTCTGATTGCTATGGCTAGGACTTCCAGTAGTATGTTGAATAAGAGTGGTGAAAGCGGATATTCACTTTGTTCATGAATTTAAGGAGAACACATGTAATTTTTGCCCATTGAGTATGATGTTGACTGTGGGTTTGTAATATATGACCTTTATTATATTGATATTCCCTCTATTTCCACTTTGCTGAGAGTTTTTATCATAATGGGTGCTGGATTTCATGGAATGCTTTTTATGTATCTACTGATATAATCACATGGTTTTATCCTTCATTTTGTTTATGTGGTATATCACATTTATAGACTTGCAGATATTATACCAACCTTGCATCTCTGGAATAAATCCCACTCAATCAAGGTGTTTGATCTCTTTTTTTAAAAATATTTTATTTATTTATTTTTAGAGAAAAGGGAAGGGAAGAAGAAAGAGAGGGAGAGAAACATAAATGTGTGGTTGCCTCTCATGTGTCCCCCACTGGGGACCTGGCCTGCAACCCAGGCATGTGCCCTGTCTGGGAATCGAACCAGCGAACCTTTGCTTCACAGGCCCATGCTCAATCCACTGAGCTACACCAGCCAGGGCTGATCTTTTTAATGTATTGCTGGATCCAGTTTGCTAATGTTTTATTAGGGATTTTAGCATCTATGTTCATCAGGGATACTAGTTTATAATTTTCTTTGTAGTTTTTCTTTATCTGGTTTTAGAATTAGGGTAATGCTGGACTTATAAAGTGAGATTGGGAGTCTTCCCTTTATTGAATTTTTTGGAACACTTTGAGAAGGATAGGTGTTAGTTCTTCTTTGAATGCTTGGTAAAATTCACCTGTGAGACCATCTGGTCCAGAGCTTTTGTTTGTTGGGAGTTTATTGATTAGTGCTTCAGTTTCATCGATTGTGATCAATCTATTCAGATTTTCTGAGTCTTCCTGATTTAGTTTTGAAAGATTGTTGTTTCTAGGAATTTCTCAATTTCATTCAGATTATCCAATTTGTTGGCATATAGTTGTTCTTAATATTTTCTTACACTTCTTTGTATTTCTTTGGTGGCTACTTCTCTTTTATTTCTGATTTTATCTATTTTGTCCTCTCTTTTTCTTGATGAGTGTAGTTTAAGGTTTGCCAGTCTTGTTTATCTTTTCAAAGAACCAGCTCTTGGTTTCATTGATATTTTGTATTGCCTTTTCACTCTATTTTGTTTATTTCTGCATGATATTTATTATTTTCTTTCTTCTACTCACTTTGAATTTTATACTTTTTTTTCTAGTTCCTTTAGGTGTAAAGTGAGATTATTTATTTGAGATTTTTTTGTTTCTTGAGGTAGGCCTGTAATGCTATGGATTTCCCTCTTAGGACCACTTTCGCTGTGTCCCATAGGTTCTGGGTTGTTTTGTTCTCATTATCATTTGTTTCAAGGACTCTTCTGATTTCTTCTTTGATCTCATTGTTAACCAATTCATTGTTCAGTAACATTTTATTTGGCCTCCATGTTTTCATGTGTTTTTCAATTTTTTTTCTTGTGATTGATTTCTAGTTTCATACCATTATGGCCAGAGAAATTGCTTCATGTGATTTCAGTCTTCTTAAATTTACTGAGACTTGTTTTGTGTCATAACCTGTGGCCCATCCTAGAAAATGTTCCATGTACACTTGAATAGATCGTATATTCTGCTTTTGGGGGCAAAATGCTCTGAAGATATCAATTAAATCCGTCTGGTCTACTGTATTATTTAAGGCCACTGTGTTGTTTTTGATTTTCTGTATGGAAGATCTATCCATTGATGTCAGTGGTCTGTGAAAGTCTCCTACTATGATTGTCTTACTGTCCATTTCTCTCTCTATGTTCATCAGTATTTGCTTTACATATTTAGGTGCTCCTATGTTGGCTGCATTTTTACAAGGGTTATATTCTCTCATTTTATTGATCCCTTTATCATTATATAATGTCCTTTTTATCTTTTATTATAGCCTTTGTTTTAAGTCTATTTTGTGTAATATAAATATTGCTTCCCTAACTCTTTTTTTGTTTCCATTTGCATGAAATATTTTTTACATGCCTTTATTTTCTGTCTGTGTGTGTCTTTCTATCTGAAGTGAATCTCTTATAGACAGCATATATAAGGTCTGTCCATAAAGTATCCAGCTATGTAATATGAAAAATAGAGACATTTATTGAAAAAGATACAAGGAACATTGTATATATGACAATGATGCCCCAGTCCCCTTCAAAGTAGGTGCCGTGGGACCTCACAGTTTTCCCAGTCACCATCCACTGCCCCATCCTATTTTCCTGAATCCCACTGACAGTCTCAAATCTCTTCCCTTTAAAAGGTGATGTTAATTTTGGGAAAAGCCAGAAGTTGCTGGGCACCGAATCTGGGCTGTATGGGGACTGAGTCATCTGGGTGATTTGGTGCTTCTCCAAAAACTCTGCACAACACGTGATACATGAGCAAACAATCTCCAGTTGCCCATAGCTGTGGCCTTCTGAATCATCTGAATAGTTTCCGTGGAGGAATGTTCAAGTTTAATGCAAAATCTGATGAAGATTTGTTGCTCTACTTGCTCAGTCATTTTGAATGTGACAGCCACACAGTACACATGTTCACTCAGTGGCATCTACCACTTCCACTGACTAGGACAATGAAGTCATCATTGTTTACACATGTGCACTCCAGTCCACTGTCCTTGGCCACCAGGTTACAACGATGTTGTGCAAACCATTCTCATTATATTGATGATAGCTGGACTTTTTCCAGACACGCCTTGTATATGGATCTTGTTTTCTTAGGTATTCAGATACACTATGTCTTTTTATCAGAAAATTTAATCAGTGTAAATTAAAAGTGATCATTGATAGGTTATTGAGGTTGCTTGTTCAGTAATTTAATTGCAGTTCTGATGTGGTCATGAGAGGAAGTGAATGCAGCTTCCGTCTTGGACCACATTCCCTACTGTCGTGTTCTCTCAGTGTTGCCACCCTCATCATTGTTGCCACCCTCATCATTGTTGCCTACCGTTTTGTCTGAGCGAACTGTTACACACTTTGTTTTGTGCACTTCAGAGTGTGGTTTGAAAAGTGTTTCCTTTGAAAGAGAGGTAGCAGTAACAAAGAAGTATGGTCCTTTTACAAGGATTTTTTGTAGTCATATTTAATTCTCCCATGATTCTTCACCTTAGCTTTTGCCTACTTCATCTGGACTACCACCAGGTTGGGAAGAAAAACAGGATGAAAGAGGAAGACTGTATTATGTAGATCACAATTCCAGAACCACCACGTGGACAAAGCCCACTGTACAGGTACCCACAATCTGTCCATTAATGTTTCCTCACATAATTGAAAACTTCGTATTTCTATGGGAGGTCTCACATCACTTTGTGGTATACACTGGATGCTTCTAGCACATTCTAATTCTTTTCTGACATTGGTGCTAAGTGCTATTTCTTGTGGATCTCTTTTATGAATGAATTACCACTTGACATTATGTGAAACTAGGCCAATTGGGAATAAGAGAACAAAGTAAATGGTCTAGTCCAATGCGTAATTTTGTAATTTGAATGGATTAAGACCATTATGTATCTGAAAGATAATCTTAGTGATTTGTTTCTCCTAAGTTTGTGTTGATGACATTCTGTCCTTGACAATAATGAGTGTATTTATAACATTTCCTTGTAAGTGTTCAGGAAAATACTCATTTTATCTTAGCATTTCTCTTATTGAGAGATGTTTTAACATTGAAAAGTATAGAAAATAATGTAGCAAATACCCATTTTCTTTAAACCCAAAATTTATCACCACTAGCAAATTACCATATTCATTTCTAGACATTTTATTTTAAAAAATAAAAGTTTACAGATAAAACGCTTTAACCAAACACTTGGTCCTACGCCCCAGAGGGCACTACTATCTTGAATTTGTCAGGTGTTCTTCTAACCTATTTTATGTACTCTCAAAGAGAGCTAAGCAACGCAAAATACTGTGTATGCCTGTGCGTTTGAAATTTTACAAAGATCTCCTGTATAATTCTAAATCTTTTTGTGCTCAATATTGTTTATAAAATCCTATCCATGTTGTTTTATATAGAGAGCCAGTGGACTTCTTTTCATTATTGCCTAATATTTCATCAGATGACATTACATTTCAATGATCAATTTCTATAGTGGATATTGGCCATTCATTTTGTCTACCCAGCCTTTGAACCCACGTCTGTGTATGGAGGGTTCCCCACTCTGTGAGTGTTTTGGATGAGCAAAGACAACCTCCTGTAATTGGCACGGTGGCTCCTCTGGCAGCTGGGGCACAGGCCCACTGACCTAGCTTTCTCCATCACATGCACCACCAGCATCGTTGTTAAGCAGCATCTTTCTGCTCAAGAGTTAGTTGAGAAATTATAAACTATTTTAAAAACAAAGTTTGACAAAATGCTTTATTTAAAAAAGGAGCCTCCAGTATTTAGGCTTATTTATAAGTGTGTATTTTGTCTGCAGGTTGTTACCTTTTTAACCACAGCTATTTGTGAGCTCTCTATAAAACATTACAACATGATTTAATTAATGTGCTAGGCCACAGTGGAGACCAGTCCGCTGCCCTCAAGTCCGAGCGGTTCTGCAGGCCCGCAACCACAGGTCCCCCCAAGTGCTTCCGCACCGCAGGCAATTCAGCCGTCTGAAATGGAGCAAGGATTTCTTCCGAAAGGCTGGGAACTCCGGCACGCACCAAATGGGAGGCCTTTCTTTATTGACCATAACACCAAAACCACCACCTGGGTAACTTTCATGCTGTCCAGTTTGCGTTGAAAACAACAACAGTAATAACCTCCTATGTATAGTTCTTGGTCATCGTTAAGTACACATTCGTACAACCTATATTTTCTAGTATTCATCTAAAGATCTGTTGAATTTGTGATAGTATTATTTCTATTCAGGATGTTTATGACTTTTTAAATATTTTGGGTGATTGTCATGTAGATACATCACTTCCTATATCCAGTTTTTAATTCACTAGTCATAATGCTTAGGAAGATATTTAGTAATAATCTTTTACCTTTATTGAGGCTGTATAGTTCCAAAGTACTTTCGAATCATACTTCATTTAATATTAAAAAAAATCTTCTGAGGCCAAGTAAAATAAGGTTTTTATTTTAAGTCTTAATGTTGTTTAGCTGTTTGTTCACCACTAATAGAAAACTTACCGAAAATTAGCAGCAGATAAATAGATGTGATCAACTTATTTAAAAGCCCAGTGTACCTAAAAAAAAACCAAAATAATTTAATAAAAATGCAGGCACTGGCACAAATAACCCCCCTTTTTCTTTATTACAAAATCTTTTATTACCAAATCATAAGCATGGAATTCTGTAACATAACAATATCATATTCACGCACACCATATGACATTTCAGATGAAATGTTCAAATTAAAACTATAAATTAGACCTGGCTGGTGTGGATTGAGCTCAGTGGATTGAGTACCCGCCTGTGAACCAAAAGGTCACCAGTTCGATTCCCAGTTAGGGCACATGCTAGGGTTGCTGGCCAGGTCCCCAGCTGGAGGTGTGCAAGAGGCACCCACACATTGATGTTTCTGTCCCTTTCTTTTCCCCTCCCTTCTCCTATCTTTAAAAATAAAAAAATAAAATCTTTTTTAAAAAAACTATAAATTATTATACCCATATTATTACCCTACTAACCATAGTCAAGCAGGCATTACTTCTGCCAGACCCTGTATTTAAATAATATATAGAAGTTAATCCAAACAAATTGAATTTTGTTATATTTTTCAACAGTTTGGTTGATTTTAATAACCTATTTGAGCTTATCATCCTATCTTTCAAAAATATTAATAAATCAGTACCTTAACAGGTAGGTGCAGCAAAGCGTGTTCAGGGCCTCAGCAGTAGCATGTGGTCCAGTTGACCGCCCCTCCCTTGCACCAGTTTTCATTCAGAGACGAGGTCTGTGTAGTAACACAGCCCCAAACCCTGAAGGGTTTCCGTGGGAGAGTTGATGACTTAGCACAGACCCTACTCTGACATCTGAGAACCGAATGCTGTCGCCTCAGGTTTTACATGGGGAAACTATTATTTTACAGATTAAGCAAATGAAATGAAAGAACAGTTTAAATATCCATTGATATTAGAAAACATAGTAACAGATTGACTCTCGTGATCTTAAAAATTGTGTGTGTATTGTTTTCTTCATTTCCTGTGCCAAAAAAAGGAAGATCCAAGACTGAAAATTCCAGCTCACCTGAGAGGAAAGGCATCGCTCGATCTTTCCAATGACCTGGGGCCTTTACCTGTGAGTTCACAGAGCTGCCACCAATGTCATCTGGCTATCTCAAACATTTTGTAGCTTGGCATACAGTAGTTCTTTAACAACTATAAGTAATGTTAAATAAGTAATTAAATATTAAATAAGTAATATGAAAGTGTTAAGAATAAAATACACAAATTAAAGTAAGCATATAACCAATGCTGTTCTTCTACCCCTATATCTAAAACCCCTTTCTAAAATAATTGAAGTACATTCTTTATTATAGCCAGGATGGGAAGAAAGAACTCACACAGATGGAAGAATCTTCTACATAAATCACAGTATGTGCACCGTGATTTTTCATTACATTATTTTCATAATACTGAGTTTTGTGCATTAGAATGAAAAACATATTTTTTTCTTTGTCTTCAGATATAAAAAGAACACAATGGGAAGATCCTCGGTTGCAGAATGCAGCAATAACTGGACCAGTGAGTCTCTTTGTATCAGTATGCTCTGGTGGGATTGTTCTCTAACCTGTCTCTTCAAGGGTGAATGGTCATCACCCTAACAGGCATTGAAAGGAAAGCACATTTGCCGTTCTCTCCTCTGTCACCACCCCCACTGCAGGTTTCAGTTATTTGAAAAAAGCAAAAAGGTCATTATCCTTATCCCACTCAATAGCTTGGAGAGGCTAGTGAGCCAGACAGTCAAAATGCACGGGCGTGGGCTGCTGTGCTCAGTCTGGGACTTGCCATTGTCTGACACAGGGCGTGGTTGGGCCACCGCGGGTCACAGTGGAGCCTGCAGTGTGGCAGGGGGGACGTGGACAGCACCCTGTCCACTCCAGGGTGGTATCGTGAACTTTTAGTAGAAGTTATTATATATATGAGATGTAAGATATACATATATATATCACACTCATATATGTGCACACTTATATTTAGGTGTAAATATTGCTATGTGAGATGTTTATTCAATTCTTGAGTCAGCTTGAGAGAAAAATCATTATCGTCTTTTATATAGCAACTTTTTTCATTTTTAGTTTTTCAGATTTTAATTGTTTTAGGATGTATGAAAATAAGTAAAATTGAAGGTATAGTTCTTTTAGATTACTCTTCAGTCTCCATGTTTAGTTTTTTTTAATAATGGATAAAAAAGGCAACTCCTCAAAGTTCAAGGGAAAAGTACATTTTTCAAATTGTTCCCTTAATGGAGAAGTCACTTAGAAAGCCTCTTTAGAGATGGAAATTTTTATTTCTAATATTTCTCTACTTGGAAGAAATTTTCTGTTTCTGGCATGTTGCATTTCAAGAATACTGAATGATGAAAATTACAGCCATAGATAGGAATTGCTGAATCCAATTTTATCTTAAACAGAGAAATTAAAAATTTTAAAGTTTTAAATTTGTGTTTCTTTAAATTTAACTTTTTGTTCCAAATATCCTCTTTCAGTGCCTTTAACTTATCTTCATAAAATACCTAGAGGGGAACTTTTGAAATTCTTTCTAAATAAAACAAACTAAACTTTTTAATTTTTTCTAAATTTTCAACTCAAGGCAGTGCCCTACTCCAGGGATTATAAAAGAAAGTATGAGTTCTTCCGAAGAAAGTTGAAGAAGCAGGTTAGTAATACTTATAATGAGTTCTTAGGAGTGAATGTTCTATATACCAAAAATAATGGGAAATGCTTTTTAAAATCGGTGGAGGGGTAAAAAAAAAAGTAATGTAGAATATGTTCTATATTTGTAACAACTTTAAATAGTTTCTTATGGGGGAAGGATGCTTATTTTTTGATATATCGTTACAGACCACAATTATTTTATGTCTTTATTTTTCAAGATACCCTGTAATTTAGAAAAAAATAATATTAAATGTCTGCCTTTAAAAGGCAAACTTTCCTAGTGGGGTTTGTGGGAATTTGACTTTATAGAACTTGAGGAGATTCAGTTTAGTGTTTGGAAATAAACTCATTATCTACCCATCTATTTCATTTTGGTTGGTGATGACCATTTTTGAAAATACTTTTCTAGTTTGCTCATAATTTTCTTCTTTCCCTGCAGTTTAGGAATACTACCACTAGGTGGCTATATTGGGTTACACTTTCTTGCATTCTGAGCCAGAGAAGCCTGCTTTCTCAGATTTAAGATGGTGGGTCAGCTACCACAGATATTTTTTCCATCCAAAATTCAACAAAAATGAAATATAATAGTTGTTTAGTACAAGTATTTTATGTCCAAATAAAATCCTAAAATATTAGCAACTTTTAAAACTCATCTTCAATAATTGTATTATAATTGCTCTGGAAATTTGTTTTCTACTTCTTAAAATTCTTTGTTGATTTATTTGTCTGGTAAATATGTTGTCTTAATGAAAAGATGCTGGTGGAATAGAAGGACTAAGTTCTCCATTTGTCACTCTGAACACTTGTAGACATGTTATGATACCTAATTGTTGATATATTCCAGACAGCAGGAGATACGGAACAAGGCCTTTACAAACAGGTCACAGAACACAAAAATTATCATGAAAGCAATAATATTCATGGCTCTCTCACTACACAGTGGGCATTCTTCTTAGCAAGTTACATATATTATTCATATAATCTCTACAATAACTCTATAAAGAAGGGAGTTATTTTTTAATGAATAAAAGTACTTTTAATAATGCATGAGACAGTCAAATCATAATGGGGTTTGAAAATCCATAGAATTAAATAATAACGGATATAGAATTCAGTCAAAACACATTCATGGATATTCATAGCCTCACACTCTGCCCAAGAAAGGGTAACAGTAATGGGTTCAACATCAAATTTATAAATTAGAAAAAAAACAGGGTATACCTACATCACTTAAAAGGGAAGCTATAAAGTTTAAAAAGCAACAGTAAAAGAGAGGAATTTTAAAATTGTGAAATTAAAGCTGCTGTAAGTTATTTTTTGTAGAACAATGGACATCACATAGAGGAAAAAATAAACAGGGATAGCACAGGCAGCTCTTGCAAGTGGAGGAGCACTAAACTGCATTTCCATCAGCAGTTGCTGTATGAGAGGAAATCAAAACGGCTATAAACTTTTGGATTTGAAATCTTATTTGAAATCATCAGTGTAGATAAATTCCTAGAGTAATGTCACTTTCTAAATTTGGCCCAAGACATCAGCTAAACTTGAATATTTCTGAGAAAAGGTTTTTTTCTTAATTATATTTTATTTTCCAGTTACAGTGGACATACAATATTACATTTGTTTCAGGTGTGTAGTCCAGAGATTAGACATTACATAAGTCACTAAGTGACCGTCCTGATGCCGTCACCTGAGCATTCCTACCACTGTCAGTAGCTTCTTCAGATACAAAAATCACAAGTCTCTGTTACGACTTGATTAGAGAAAATGCATGAATTCTTTCATACCATAGCGGAAATAGAGGCAATGTTCCTAGTTGTGTTTTCCCTGAAAAAGGATCTTGGGCACAGGGTAGAGTACAATGAATTTCATCACTTTCATGAGAGAGAAATTTGCCATCGTGTTGAATTGATTTAAACCAGAAGTCTTTCTTCTCTGGGTCTTCAGAATGACATTCCAAACAAATTCGAAATGAAGCTTCGCCGTGCAACTGTTCTTGAGGATTCCTACAGGAGAATTATGGGTGTCAAGAGAGCGGACTTCCTCAAGGCTCGACTGTGGATTGAGTTTGATGGTGAAAAAGGATTAGATTACGGAGGAGTCGCCAGAGAATGGTTCTTCCTGATCTCAAAGGAGATGTTTAACCCTTATTATGGGTTGTTTGAATATTCTGCTACGTAAGCACCTTTCCATTGACTGTATACAGAAAAAGAAATCACTATTTTGAAAGCAACAGTTGTATGATGCAAGGAAAGTGTACGTTACAGTGTGCCAGAAAGAAGAGTATAACTGATGTTGTCTCAGAAATAATGTTTTTTAATTGTGGTAAAATACACTTAATATACAATGTACCACTTCGGCCATTTTAAAGTGAGTGTACAGTTCAGTGGCATCACCTGTAGGGACGTTCACACTGTGTGCAACCATCACTTCTGTCCGTTTCTAGAACTTTTTCATCACCCCAGACTGAAAGTCTGTGCCCGTTAAACACTGACTCCCCCAAGCCCTGATAGCCTGCTTTCTACTTTCTGTCTCTGTGAATTTGACAGCTGTAGGTACCTCTCATAAGTGGAATCATAGAGTGTTATCTTCTCATGACTGATTGACTTCATTAGCATAATGTCCTCACGCCTCATTCATATTGTAGAAGGTGTCAGAATTTCGTTCCTTTCCAAGGCTGAGTAGTATCCCATTGTGTGAACATACCACAGTCTGTCTCTCCCTTCATCTTTCAATGAACATTCAGGTTGTCTCTACCTTTTGACAGAAATGACTGTTTTTAAAACCATTAAATCCAGTGGTCTAATATCATTTTAAAAGAGGTAAACAACTCTAAAAAGAGGGAGATAACTTACAATTATTTGTCAAGTTAAAATTTTTATTTGAAATATGAAGAGGAGCATTTAAATGTGGTTGTCTTTGCAGGGACAATTATACCCTACAGATAAATCCAAATTCTGGATTGTGTAATGAAGATCACCTCTCTTACTTCAAGTTTATTGGCCGGGTAGCGGGAATGGCAGTATATCATGGCAAATTGTTGGATGGTTAGTATTCAGCTTAAAATGTTCTTACGTGTAATTATAATTATTACATTATAATATTATGTATAATTATAGGTGTGATAAGAATGTGATTTATCTGATTTCTTTCACTTGTAATTATTTTTTTAATATTTAATTTTTTGCAAGGTTTTTTCATCCGCCCATTTTACAAGATGATGCTTCACAAACCAATAACACTTCATGATATGGAATCAGTGGTATGTCTTTTTCACTTATAATAGAGAATATAATTTAACAGGCAACTAAGTAATTTAAAGAGTTAGCTTTTAATGATGAAGAAATGAATAGATTATAATGTTCCAAAATACAATGAACATTTTTCTCAACATTTTATTTTGAAAAATTTCCAACTTACAATAAAATAAAATAAAACTTACAGTAGACGCGTTTGTATCCACAACCCAAATTCCACAATTGGCGTTTTGTCTATATACTTAATTATCGCATACCCATTCACCTGTCTACCCTCCAGCCATCAATCTACTTTATCTTTCTGATGCAGTTCAAAGAAAGTTGCAGATATCAGTAAACTCCTCCCTAAGTACTTCACTGTGCTCAACAACATTTTAATGTATGTCTCACATCCATATTTGAATTGTGATCACTTATGCTGAATGGCCTATGTTTTCAAAATAGCTGCTCGAAGACAAGGCCTTGAGAGTGGCCATGGCAAAGATACACAAACATGTGGATTAAACCCCTGACCATAGCCCATGCTGAGCAGCTTCAGACACTGAGCATACACGGGAATTCCAAGACCTCTCCTTGGTACCAAGTTTATTTTTTATCCCCCTTCTGTGACACAACAGCAGTGTGAATAGTATAATTCTTTTTTAAAAAGATTTTATTCATTTATTTTTAGAGAAAGGGGAAGAGAGGGAGAGAAACATCAGTGTGTGGTTGCCTCTCATGTGTCCCCACTGGGGACCTCGCAACCCAGGCAGGTGCCCTGACTGGGAATCGCACTGGCAACCCTTTGGTTCACAGCCTGTACTCAATCCACTGAGCCACATCAGCCAGGGCTGAATAGTATAATTCTTCACAAATCATAAGATTGCACAATTGCTGGAGCTGGTTAATTGAGGTTCTGTATTTGAGGATTTTTTTTTAACTCGGGCCAGGTATAAACAACAGCATCCTTGCATATACTTAAACATTTCATAGTCTGATTGGTCATGTGACAAAGTTGCTAGGTGTTCCCAGGTATCCACGGAAGTTCAGTTTCTCTGAAAACTGCTTTAACTAGGTAATAAAATTTGTACCGCCACTGCTGCCACACAGAAGTCAATTTCTAAAGGTTTAAGCAGGTACCACTTTATTGATGGATGTATTTTTACTGTCATCCTTGCTTAGTCATCCCTGTCTTTTTATAATGTGTGTGTGTACTTGGAAAAGATGTCCAATGACCTGTTCATCTTTGGTTCAGTTATTCAGACTTCAGTATACTTTCTTTGCAAGTTCAGGTGTCTTCTTTTTATATGTATGCCAATGTTAAATATGTAATTTTTCCCATCTAGGATAGTGAATATTACAATTCACTAAGATGGATTCTTGAAAACGATCCAACAGAGCTGGACCTCAGGTTTGTCATAGATGAAGAGCTTTTTGGACAGGTTTGTAAACTTTGATTAATTAAAATGATACATGAATTATGAAACAAATGTTATAACAAGTTTAGGCATTAAATAATGTGTATACTCAACACATGCCTGTGCTCTATTTTTAAATTGACTTTCCAGCATCAAAAGCTGCCTCCCAGCAAGAATTTCTGCTTTCTTTGACATTTGACTCATTCCGTATTTATTTTAGTAAAACTAATATTTTAAGTTTTCTTAGCATTTGGATGGATTTAATTTAAAACACCAGGTTTCTAGTATAATATGTATACTTTATTTTTTCACTCAAATAACATGTCAAGGTATCGTGCTTAATTTTAGACACATCAGCATGAGTTGAAAGTTGGTGGATCAGAAATAGTTGTCACCAATAAGAACAAAAAGGAATATATTTAGTAAGTATTGTGTTAGTAAGTATTTTACCATTTATAATAAATACTTTACTGGATATAATTTTGTACTTTTTTCCAGGAAGACTCTTTGTCCTTTCTCTCTCCTCCCCAACAGCTATAGTCTCAGCATCCTTTTCTTTTCACAGTGCCATAGTACCACACACATCCATAGTACCACACACATCCATAGTACCGCTCACATCCATAGTACCGCACACATCCATAGTACCACTCACATCCATAGTACCGCACACATCCATAGTACCACTCACATCCATAGTACCGCACACATCCATAGTACCACTCACATCCATACGACACATCCAAGTACCACTCACACCATATAAACATCATAGTACCGCACACATCCATAGTACCGCACACATCCATAGTACCACTCACATCCATAGTACCACTTACATTCAACATTTTACCTTGATCTTAGCAAGTCTTTTTTGTTTGTTTGTTCATTTGTTTCTAACAAAAATAAATGTGCCTTGAATTCTTTTTTGATTCATGTGAGAAAGACAGAATGTTTTGTTTCTTTTAGCCTTGTAATACAGTGGCGATTTGTGAATCGAATCCAGAAGCAAATGGCTGCTTTTAAAGAGGTATTGGTCTTATTTTGTTTGCTCTTCTGTAATTTCCAAGTACAATCCATGAGTTTTAAATATTGGGGCTTATCACAGCAGAGAAAAATTCATATGTGACTTACTTTTTAAACCCCATTTAATTATACTTTTATATTAACGAAATTTTAAGTGAGTAGATGTTCACTGTTAAAACTCAGTCATTGAAGAGGTCCATGCCAGAAACCTCGACAGCCCCCTCACACGTATCACCGCCCCTTACCTCTCCTGGGCCCGCTCCTTTCACCCTGAGTAACCTTAGTGAGCAAAGAAACGAGTGCTGCAGGTAGGGGTGGTGGAGTAGACCGTTCGTCCCTTTTTCTAAAGGGGATCACACTATACATGTTGTTTGTGACTTGTTTTCTTTTCTCTCATCAAATATTTATTGGAGCCTTAGCTGGTGTGGCTCAGTGGATTGAGCACTGGACTGGGAGTCAAAAGGTCACTGGTTCAGTTCCCGGTTAGGGCACAGGCCTGGGTTGCAGGCCAGGTCGTGGGGTATGGGAGAAAAGAAACCCATCGATGTTCTTCCTCTCTTTCTCCCTCTTTACCCTGCCCTCATATTATTTATTTATTTATTTATTTATTTACTTACTTATTTATTGGAGATCTTACCATGCCAAGACATATACCTACCTTTGTGTTGTGCTACATTTTATTCATGATATAAATTCACAAGCTATTTAGACTTCCCCCAACTGATGGACATTTAGACTATTGTCAGGGTGTTCATTTCTTAAGCTAAATGAAAATCTTCCATTATGTATTTCTCACATGCTTTTTCATTTCTTTAATATTGAGCACTGACTGCATGTCTGGTGCTGTATCAGGCAAAAGGACGTAGGTCCTGCTGTCAGGGAGCAAAGACTCTAAAATGCGAAGCAGACGGAGAGGACCCTGACGTGCTAGGGCGGCACAGAAGAGGGGAAGAAACCAGAGCAGGGAGAGGGGGCGGCGGGCAGGGAGGGGAGGGATCGTTCAGCCTCAGACGAGTGGGACATGCAGCTCTAAGCAGAGGCAGCAGCAATGTGAAGTGTGGCCATTAGACAGATTGTGCGCATGTTGAAGAACATGCAACCAATCCCTATGGTGGAAGAGAGGATACAGAAGGTGAAACTAAGCCTGGGGAGCTGGCCACAAACCACATTCTGAAGAGCCTGCTTGTTAGTTTTCTCTGAAGTCCAGTGAGGGGAAGGAAGGGGGCCTTTAAAGCTGTTCAACAATAAAACAGTAGGATCAATGTCCATTTTAGATCATTCGGGAAGTGACATGTAGTAGATTAGAAGGAGGGCAAGGCTAGTTTGGAAAGAGCCTGCCGTAGTCCAGGTGGAGACCAATGGGTTAGGAACCAAGACAGTGCTGCTGTGAAGAGAGCTGTGTGTGCATTTGAGTGGTGTTCAGGAGGGAAGGTCCACAGCATAGGGCGATTTAAAGGATGGGTAGCTGGGGTGATGGTGTGGATTGGGGAGTCGCCTCTGGATGTCCTGTGGAGCTGTGGACCCGGTAAGATGGAAAATTCAAAGCAACAGGAAGGCGAAAGTGGGTGGCCACATGTGGACATCTGGGAACACCAGCATTTAAAGGATGGACACTGAAAAAGAAAACTGCAAAGGAAATTAGCAAAGGCAGACCGAGACATAAGAATAAAACCATCCACAGCAGACAAAATTTCAAAAACAAAGGTGTTTTCAACACCATACTGCAGAAAAGTCAGATAAGATATGGAGCTAGACTTAGCAGCAAAGTTGCTTTTGACTTTTCTCCAGGACAGCTTCAGGGAAGCCGTGGCACAGAGCTCCGATTGCAGCGGGCTGAGGGACAGACAGGAGGCGAACAAGTAGATTTGGTAATATGTAACACTGTCCAGAACTCGGCTATGGGAGAGGAGGAGAAAGGAGTGTGTGCTGTCTGTTCTGTTTTTAAGGCAGGTGTGCCTGGAATGAATTTAAATGCATAAAGAGTGAGCTGCTCCAGAGGAGGAGGTTCAGTGAGAGGAGCTGGAGGAAGCGGGTGGAGCCCACAGAGCCAGTGGTGCCTCCACTGCCGCGGGCAGGAGGCCACGCTGATGTTGGTGCTGGCTGGTTTCATACGTGGGGCTGTGGAAGGTTGAGTGAATTCCATCCTGCCTCACTGCCCCTATTTCCTCTCTCAAGTATTAGAAATTATCTTCTGTAAGAAGGGGTGACAGTGAGGAGGAGGAGGCTTGAAGAGTGCAGGGAAGCTCTAAAATTTCCACTTTAAGGAGACAGTGAGGGAACAGACTAGGGTCTGTCTTCTCACAGTATTGAAATCTCAGTTGAGTTAAGAGCCCACAAATGTGTAAAGGTAGGAATCTGTGTGGATGTGGGATTTCTCCACTGGCCCCCAGGAGCTGACCCTGCTAACCAGGTTCTTAAATACATTCTGTCTTCTAGGGATTTTTTGAACTAATACCACAAGATCTTATCAAAATTTTTGATGAAAATGAACTCGAGGTAAGCAATATTATTTTTATTTTAAAACAGAACTTTTTTACTCTATATTTTTCTTGTCTGTAGTTTGACATTTTTTATTATGTAGCTTCTTATGTGTGGATTGGGAGATGTCGATGTGAATGACTGGAGAGAACACACCAAGTATAAAAATGGCTACAGCGTCAATCACCAAGTCATCCAGTGGTTTTGGAAGGTAATCGAAAGCATAAACCACTTCTGATGGATTCAATCATACATAACTATACTAGTTAACTTCCCTTATAGATAAGACAGAACATAGCCCAACAAAGACTGTCTTTGATTTTGTGCTGTATACATCTACCTTCCGGGTATGGCCCCAACTTGCGGCCACACTTAGAGATAAGGCAGTGAGATGTTCAGGGTGGAGTGAATGGCAGTGACAGCCAACAGAGGCACTTAGTTTCTTCGTAAAGTAGGGACTCTTCAAGAGAACCTGTAATAACCTATGGTATTTTCTCTAGAATTCCTGCATGGTCCCTTTAACTGTGGGTTTCAGTCTTACCAAGAAATAGGTAATTGAACAACAATAAAAAAAGAGAAAAAAGAAATGTGTCTAATAATATCAATAAATATTTTTTTAGAAACTGTGACTCATTTCTGAGAGTAATTTTTTGTCACTTTATTAGACTGTAATCTCATTTTAAGAGTACCATGGAGCCTTGAAAATAAAGTAGTTAAGAACTTTGTAAACCACCCATAAACACAAATTTAACTAAAAGAAACATGCAAATTTACTAAGTGAACACTAATGCTCTAAATAAATTCTGAGAGCATGTTTTTCAGGATAGTTGTGTTACCTTTTTTCCAGTGATATTCCTGAATGCTGTTTTTGTCTTATGCAGGCTGTTTTAATGATGGATTCAGAAAAAAGAATTAGGTTACTTCAGTTTGTCACTGGCACATCTCGGGTACCTATGAATGGATTTGCTGAACTGTATGGTAAGGATTTTCCACATCATTTAAAAATGGAGCAATTCCAGTTGTCTTTTTCATGGCTGATTAGTCCTCAAGCCCCTATCATTTATACAGACAGTTTGCTTAATGAAAAGGAAGCTTTTTAAAGTGATATAATTAGAAACACTGAAGTAGGCCAAAATGTACTGACCCCTTCTAATCAGAGAGGAAAGAAGAAAACTAGAAACACGAAATGACGTGAATTACTTTCCATTCTTGAATTTTAAATTTCTTGTTCCATTAGGGAGAAAACATTGCATGTAGTGTGAGAGACCAGGGCAGTGTGCAAAGTTCCACAGCATGTTAGTAAGTGTGCAGAAAAAAACAGAGAGTGTCGTGGTAGGGTACACATGGGGAGATACTGGACCAAACAAAATCGAATCGATTTCTTTGGGACTTAAGAACCTTTACTAAGGTTGGGAGGGGGGAACTAAGCTGTGTTTGAACATGGAGTCCTTGTGCCTGTGGGGGTGGGGGGAAGTCGGGGGTGGAGAATCCCATTAGGCTACTAGTTCTCAATCTTGTGGGGAATGTCAGGACTGGGGATAAGAGTGCGTATATCTCTTGCTATTCAGAATAGTTACTATTAATTAAGTTTTCTATAAAGTGAAATTTTGCATATTCTATCTAATTATTTTCTGGCCTGTTTACCTCATAACTCCAGAGGTATCTTTTGTAAGAAAAAAAGTACTGTTTCTGATATAGGGCACAACAACTTGTCTCGTACCTGTTAACATATTGTTTATTGGAATGATATCTACTTGCTTTTAAAGATACCAAGAAGAACAGCCCTGGCTGGTATGGCTCAGTGGATTGAGCACGGGCTGCGAACCAAATGGTTGCTGGTTTAATTCCTGGTCAGGGCACATGCCTGGGTTGCAGACCAGGTCCCGAGTATGGGGTGTGCAAGAGGCGTCCACACATTGATGTTTCTCTCCCTCTCTTTCTCCCCCTTCCCCACTCTCTAAAAGTAAATAAATAAAATCTTAAAAAAAAAAAGATACTGAGAAGAACAAATCATTCTTCTAGGAGTGGAGCCCAACTCAGAGCAACAAAGAAGAATAGAATTGTTCTGGGAAGTAGAAATCAGGGACTGCTGCCTAGACAGTTTCTAAGTGACTTTTTCGGGCACAGAGAAAGCTGTTGCTACCTGGTGGAATTGCCAGCCCCCTCTGTCTCCTCCTTGGCAAACTGGACTCCTTGTTAAGCTTCATTTATGTTTGTTTGCAGAACCTGTCAGGCAGCTGCCACTTCACTAGAATAACCACCCACAGTGAGAAGAATGAGAACAGGAGCTTTGCCACTAGCCAGTGTGCTCATTCCTTCTGCCTAGTTGGCTTTCTTCACATTGGCCTCTCTGGTGGTTTCCCCTGACTCCCTCTTCCTGCCTCTGCTCCTAGGCTTCCGCCATTCCTTAGAGAAAATCACGCACACACCCCTGTTCGTCCCTGCCTCCTCTCCCCTCTTCTGTGCACCCAGGCCCTCAGTCGCCACTGACTTCACAAACTGTGAAACTGGGAAACCATACCCCACGCACAGAGCCAGAGTTATTAATGTCAGAATATAAATTCAAATTCTTTTATATTTGCAAAAGAAAAAAATGCAATATTATCTAGCCAATAAAAAATATGTTTATATCGATTGACTTAGTGGGAGTTTTCCCAATGGATTGTTCAGGTGAATGAATCAGGAGTCAGGGAGATAGGTAAGACTTCATGTGACAGAAAACAAATAGTGACAGAAGCACTGATGTTTCAACTGTGAACATAATTGTGATGGGTGATGTGTGAAAAGTAATGCTTTTTGAGAAAAGAAGACATGGAGAAAATCATGGGAGGTTACACTTTGGGTTGTCAGCATTGCTTACCTGGGTGGTTGGAGGATTTGAGAATTGGAAGAGAAAGAGCTAGATGAAAACACCAAAGGAAAACAGAGTTTCTGGAAATGTCCATAATCAAAGAAAAGTGTAGCACTTACAACTCAATCCCGTGCACATAGAAAATTCTGTGTAGAGGCACACACACAAAAGATTCACGATGGGCTGGTTCCTCAGATATAATAGTGAAATCTGAGGTGGTTTTTCCATCATCATATTTTTCTCGATTGCTTTAATGTTTTACAGTAAGACTTTATAATCAGAGAAATTGAAGCTGTTTTCAGCGGAACACAAGCAAGACAGAAAACACCCATTTCCTCTGTGCTCCTATGAAGGAGGTGGTGGACAGGAGTGCAGGGCTGGGAGGCAGCAGAAGCGCGTTGGGACGCCCACCCCAGGGGCAGAGCGATTTAGTGGGGGAGGAGCCCTCATGGCCGTCCTGCCGCCAAGCACAGGACAGCCTCCATTTCTTTGGAGTTTAAAGAAACTAGATTAGTTCTCTGTATGTTAAGTTCTACAGTAGAAAAAGTGAGTCGTGAAATGCCTAGGGTTTCCTGTAAAGAGTAAATAAAACCAAAGCAACTCTTCTTCCTTATAGGCTCAAACGGACCACAATCTTTTACAGTTGAGCAGTGGGGTACCCCTGAAAAGCTGCCAAGAGCCCACACATGGTAAGCAGTTTCTTGGAACCTGAGAGAACAAGGTCTCAGAGAGCAAATCCCCTCTTGGTACAGAAGACCTAGTCCCCTCTGTACTATGTTAGTGGCAGCTATGGAGGAGGAGGAGAGGGAGAGGAAGGAAGAGGAGGAGGAGGGGGAGGGAAGGGAGGAGGAGGAAGAGGCAGCAACACCAACCCAAGAACAGGTGTTACTTTACCAGGTAGGCCTTGGCTTGAAGTTCAGGAGCGGCTCAGCTCAACTGTTGATCGTACGTTGCCTCCATCGCATAAATGATAGGCAATCCCAAGAGGGGCTAGAATGTTCCTTTTGAGGGTTTAAAATGACAGAGGAACCCAGACATTCGAAGGTGGGGACAGGAGGACTTCACCATGCAGTCGTGGGGAGAGCCCATGCCTAGAATACAATCCTGTATCTCCTTCTGCCCTGGTGATTAAACATCTTTTAGTGGATCATCACCAATGACCATGTTACTGACCTCGCTGTGGGGACACTTGCTTTGTCCGTGTCTGTCTTAACCAGTTCCGCTCTGTTTTTCAGCTTTAATCGCTTGGATCTGCCACCCTATGAATCATTTGAAGAATTATGGGACAAACTTCAGATGGCAATTGAGAACACTCAGGGCTTTGATGGAGTCGATTAGATTACAAATAACAATCTGCAGTGTGTTGCTGCCACTTCTTTTTATAAGTAAATTCTTGACTTAAGATTTTCCAGGGAACTACTAACACTTAGCCATCGATTCTTCCCAGATATTGGAGCAAATCATACAAAAGCATTAGAAGCAGTAGTGCGACAACTTTACCAGTACTTCATCCACTTTTAAATAATATGTTGCATTTACACAGTGTTTCCTTCTGTCGTTAGAGTTCACACTCCAGGACCTACGTCCTTCGTGCCTGAAATAGTGAATTGTGTCCTTAACATTTACCTCTTTTCCGGTGTTTGCCAGGCAGTCCTTTCTTAAACTACTGAAATTATAACTGTGAAATGTTTGTGATAAGTGTCATGTGTGAAGAGCTTATGCTTTCTGAAAAGGAAAACTGAGATTTGGAAAAGGACACTTTAATATCCAGTAAACAACACTATATTTAGCGCTGCCTGCAGCTGTTTATTACTCGGTGGACCTGCCTATGCACCTTACTGCCCGGAATTTTGGAAAAACCTTGGAAAGTGTGTTAGCTATATTTTTAGTCAACTGACTCACTGGCAAAAAAAATTGTTTACTTCTTCATTTAAAAAGTTCTTGGTGTCTGTTAGTATGTGGCTTTACTGAACAAACTGGTATATAAGACACGGGAAGCAAATTCAGATTTGCAAAGGGTGAAAAATACTAACGCCGCCCTCTTGCCTGCACATCCTCGAATCCTCGTGGTTCGTTGCTGTAGTCTTCACTCTCTCATGTTGTAGTTTAGTTAAAAGAATTCCTTGTTTCAACATTAAACTAAAGCACCACAAAGCAGTATTTCTAAGTATGCCTCAAAGAACTAAGTGAAATATATAGTACTTGCCTTTACTAGTCATTCTTTACACTTGCACAATTATGTAGTAACTATATGTTTACAGAGTTTATTATGTTTACACATTATGCTAATTTCTGTAGTTGCCTTTTTATATTTTTAGTATGTCACTTTAGTCAAAAAACCAAAAAATATGTTAAAAAATAACCAAAGAATAGTTATAATGCATAATTTGTATTAAATTTATTACCATATTTCTTATGCTTTTAAAAAATACTGTTTACTATGAAAAGGATGATATTTTACTATAAACCCAAAACTCTTTTAGCAAACTGTCACAAGATAGCATTTTACTTTAATCAAATAGAAGAACATGAAAACCATGTACATGGGTTCAACAAACATTTATCGAGGGCCTGCCGGGCGCAGAGCTCTGCACTAGGCCCTGGGGCGAGAGTGGTCAGCTTCCCCAAACTGAGTTCAGTCCTCAGCCTCAGGGAACCGACAGGTGTGGCCATGAGTTTTTAAACAATGGAAGTAGGAGGGGCAAGTGGAATGAAGCACAAGGGAAAGTGTTTCAGCATACCCGTCAAAGAGCATGCCCAGGCTGTGTTGATATGTTTCATCTCTATTTTGGAGGGATTGTATAGAAACTGCTCTTGTGGAAAGTTAAACCTATTTCCCCATATGGTATCCTGGGGATTTAGGAATAATTGTAAATATTATATAAATGTTAGGAATCCTCCTACACATGTGCATATATACTCTGAGAACTATAAACAGTGCTTCTGGCTGTTTCAGTCGGTGCAGTGTAATACCGTGGGTCCCTGGCAGCACCGGCAGAGACCTCACACATGACAGTAGCAAAACCACTTTGCAAACAGCTTGACTTAGGGGAGGTGACTCACAAAAGGACACACCTTGTGTTTTTAGTGCTTTTGTGCTAACCAGTGCTCGGGTGAGACCTCCAGGGGTAGCCCTAATTTTATCACTTCTCTGCTGTTGGAACTGAAGCGACTTATTCAGCCTCTCTGGGCTCCACTTTTATCATCTGTCAAATGAGAATCATCATGCCCACTCTCACTGTTGCATAAGATTGTTGTTCCAGAGAGGTGTTTGGCAAACTATCATGCGATCCGAACATGCTTTGTGCTGACCATCAGATTTTGTCAAATCAGATGTGGACACTAACTGTACTCCTAAAGAGGAATCTCTTTATTTAAAAATAACATGCCTGCTGATAGGCAAGGAAGTAGGAACATCTCTGATACTGAATACACACACACATGTTTAACTAGACACATACAGATGTTTAGCTAGACATGGATCTTGCCACCAGAATCCATTTTCTCCACATCAGCAAAGTAATTAACATGGGCCAGTGCATTTTGGAATGTCCTCCTTATGTAGAACTGAATGTGAAAACTATTTTTGTTAAAGCGGGATTTTATCACATGACTGTTTAACTATCACTTATGTGAAATACCATAGCAGATACCAGAGCTTGAGAAAATGTAAAGCTTGCATTTCATCTGACTGATATTCATTTGGATGATCCTGTGACTCAGATAAACCAGGGTGTCGATGAGACCAGGCTCACTCTCACCAGCCCCCAGCCACAGACCACCACGCCCTCCGTCTCCCCGATGGGGGCCGGCCGTCTGGAAGGAACCTGCATCAAGCAACACAGTCCCTCACCCCAGACAGAAAAGTATCTCCAATGCATTCTATGGCTGGAGAGTAAGTAGGGTCATTTTCTTAAAGCAAGGATGTCATATTTTTCTAGAAAGTATAAGCACATATTTTTAGCCTATATTTTCTCTGCAATCAAATTTTAACAGACATAAAATTGTATTACAAGTGCATTTCATCCTAACTCAAACTTAAATGGTATTTGTTTTCATTTTTTATTTGTAATACTGGAATTATTCCATGCAATTTTCAAGTTTAACACAGTTTGTGCTGATTCCAAGCCATTTGTCCTTGTTTTTAAAAATCTGACATGGTAAATATATTTCAAGATTAGTGTATTAAAATTTATCAAATATTTTAAAGTATAAAACCATTTTAAAAAATCTTGATGCCACAAATAAAGTTCTATTCTAATTTAAAACCAAAAAACACCATAATTGTGATTCATTTTAAATAGAAATGTCTCCAAGCCAGTGTTGTGAGTGAGATCTTCTGACCTAGTCCTTCACAGCAACATACAGGATTCTCAAGATAATTCTGAATTTGTTTTTTTTTAAAGATTTTATTTATTTTTAGAGAGAGAGGAAGGGAGAGAGAGAAACATTAATACGTGGTTGCCTCTCAAGTGCCTCCTACTGGGGATGTGGCCCGCAACCCAGGCATGTGCCCTGACTGGGAATCGAACCAGTGACCCTTTGGTTCGTAGGCTGGCACTCGACCCACTGAGTCACTCCAGCCAGGGCCAATTCTGAATTTATACCTGATGAGCAATGCCATTATACATTATCTACTGTTAACCATGGATAATGTCCATTTTACAGACAGGTCATGTTCCAAAAGTCTGGTGATTAGTGAAATAAATATCCAGAACAAAATACTAAAGTTACAAATCGACTGGATTTTAGGCACTGCCACTGGTCATTGAAGAGGCCAGGCTCTAACCTAACCAGTGTTTATCACATTATCTCTCTGAGAAAAAGAGTTCCAAGTGTTCATTCAGAACTGAGTATCTTTTCCTCCTTCACCCTAGGCACCTGGAGGTTTCCCAAGCCAGCCCTGGGAAGGAGCTGTTTCAGCCTTCTCTTTCTGCTAAAATCCAGAAAACCCTTAGGACTCAGGCCACTGCCCTCTGCTTCCACCCCTCTGGTGCTGACCCACTGGAGCGCTGGCCCACACCAGGCGTCCCCATGCAGGAAGTCCCTGCTTCTCTGTCCGTCAGCACAGACACATTCCTTTTATAAGGACATTAAACTAAGTGTTAGGATCTCGAAACCTTACTAAGAAGAAAGAGCTTCAGTAGGTTTTTGTGTGTTTTGAAAGTGAAAGAGCATCACCACCTGAGCTCCCTTTTGGGTTCTGCCAGTCTCTCCTCTGCCCGCTCTCCCGTGCAGACCCTCCGTCCCACCCTGGCGCTTCCTTCCTGTCCTCAAATCTGATCCGGGTACTCTACAGCCAAAAAACACTCTGGGAGCTCCTCAGAGCCAGAAACATGAAGCCCGGACCTGCTGACATGAAATGCGGCCTGTCCTCAGCCAACTGTGTGAGTTCCCCCTGCTGTCACACCCGCACTCCCCCCAAACCAGCCCCGCCTCAGGCCTCTGGTCACTGCAGACCGCTGGGCTTGCTCTGCCTGCGGTGCCTGCCTTCCCACCACCACTTGAGAAGTCGCTCCTCCTTCCAGACCACGGGGAAGGGGCTGTCTGACCGATAGGAGCATGAATGGCATTGCACCGCAGTTCTTTGTTTAATATTGTCTCCTTGCTTTTGGGCAGCTTGAAAGTAGAGACTATTCTGCCCATGTTTTCATTTACCAACACACAAATATACATGGAATAGGGGATGAGTACTGTTTCTGTGTACAGTTTATTCAGTGCACATGGATTGAGCACCTACCATATCCCCAGCACTGGACAATATGCGGGACATTCTGCAATTAGGGAGACATTGGGGACTACATAAATACACATGCAGAGAAGGAGCTTGATTGAGATCCTGCTGAGAGCCCAGGTCTGCAGTAAACATTTAAGTGTATCCCATTTAATCTTCATGAAAACTCAGTGAAACAGGTTTTATAGGCTCAAGAAGGGCAAGTAATTCACCTGAGGCCACAAGGCTCGCAAACAGTGGATTATGAACTACAGCAACAAGAACTGTAGAATCCAACAAACAAATTATCAAGGTGTGTTTGTTTTCTGTTGCTGCATAACAAACTGCATTACCTGAGCTTAGCTGTTAAAATCAACACCCATTTTTTACCACACAGTTCAGTAGGTCAGAGGTCTGCATGGGATCAGCTGGGTTCTCTGCTTGGGGTCTCACACGGCCAAAGTCAAGCTGCCAGTCAGTTGGGCTCTCATCTGCTTCCATGGTCCTTCAGGTTGTTGACAGAATCAATCTTTTGGGGCTGAGGTTCCCATGTTCTTGCTGGCTGTCACTTGGGTGCCACTCTAAACTTCCAGATGCCACCCACAGTCCTCATCACTTGGCCCCCTCTATCTTCAAGCCAGCCACAGGATGTTGAGTCCTTACGCTCAGGATCTCCCCCACACCCCCTTCTGTGTACTTTGCTGCCCTCCAGGTAGAGAAAGTTATCTAATTTTCAAACTCACTGGGATAGATCAGGACCACCAGGATAATCTCCCCCTTTGAAGGTCCACTGTTCCATAGGCGTAGCAATTAGGGGAGTGAGGTCTCAGCACATTCATAGGTTGGTTGCAGGGATTAGGGGCTAGAGCCCTGGGGGACAATTCCTAGAAACTCTGCTTCCCACACAATGTAAAGGAGAGCAATGCATTATGGAGATTCAGCTTGAAAAACACTTAAATATATTGAATTTTAGAGTGCACACTTAAGTCTTAGCTAATGAAAGGCCAGATAAATTAATGCCACTATTGCCCTGGTTGGTGTGGCTCAGTGGATTGGGTGCTGGCCTATGGACCAAGAGGTCACCAGTTCAATTCTGGTCAGGGCACATCCCTGGGTTGGGGTGTGCAAGAGGCAACTGATTGATGTTTCTCTTGCTCACTGATGTTTTTCTCTTTCTCCCTCCCTGCCCCCTCTCTGAAAGTAAAATAAAATATTTTAAAAAATTAATGCTAATTTCAGCTGGTAGGATTCAACCTCAGCTGCTGTGCGTTCACAAGCCACCACTCTCAGGGGAGCCGCTGGTTTGCATTTTCCTCAGTGGCATCAAGGTCTCAGAACTGACTGAAATTAGATTCAACTCATCCTTAGGAGATTCCTTATTTAAACAGAAATGAAAGGTCATAGCTGCTCTTTTTATTTTCCAATAAAATCATGTTCTGGACAGTGACATGGGTGCAAATCAAAATAGAGCCGAGAAGGGAAAAAAGCCCTTCGCAGCCCAGAGTTGCTGGCCATTTGCCGACTTTGAACCTCCAGGAAGGGAGGGCAGTCTTCCCAAGGCCACAGTCACGGGAGGTGCCGGGCAATCACACGGGTCTGGAGCAGAGGTTTTCTCTTCGGAAAGGTAACCAGAGATGAAAGTCATTAACTGTAGCTTCACGAACATACTCCATTCGCCATTTAGGTTCTCATTTAATTTCTCAAGAAAAAAATCAGTTGTTAGCAAGGCAAAAATCACGTCTTCCTATGAGTGGCTTTTCTGTAACACATATTTTATAAGTGAGAAACTCAAGTGTATTCTCTCATATCAGTAAGAGGTAATGACCACAGCGAGCATAGGGTAACCTCCATTTAAACCAGATTTTCACTGATGCTGGACTTGAAAACACGATCCAGATTAATGACTTTGTTAGTACTCGGTCACTGGGCATTAGACCAAATACAGCATAAATACGCTTCCCGACTTGACGACAGTGGAATAGCTCACGGTCTGGCCCTCCAGTGGGATGACCAAGTGCTCGGTGATGGATTCGTAGTTGACTGGGCTTCCTCCTGCAGTGTCGCCATTGGTCGTGATGATGTATTGCTTGTGGCCACATGTCGATGTTGTGGTGCTTTAAGCTGTGAGGAATTCAGTCATGTTTTATCCTTGTTTTTGAAGAGGGTTGAGACAGGAAATAAGAAAGCTCTGTAACTCAGTCACTACCAGGACTCAATATCCACGGTTACCCCCGAGACTCGATGTACGTACTCGTCCCATTGCCACCTGGAGACAATGCGGATAGGAATTCCGGGTTATCACAAGACCTCTCAGTACTAACTTAAGCGTTGCCAGGGGCAGGAAAGAGGAACACGCAGCACCGACCACCAGCCTTTGGAAGCTGTATGAAGACATATTTAAAGCCCCGCCCTGAGCCGAGGTCTAGGCTAGCGCTGTCCAGTAGAGATATAATGTAGATGACACTTATCATTTTAAATTTTCTGTTGGCACATTGTAAAAAGTGAGAGATACATAAATGTACTGGTAATAATATATTTTATTTAACCTACTATATCTAAAATATTATCATTTCAGCGTGTAATCAATATAACGTTGTTAATGAGGTGGTTTTCCCTCTTTTGGCACTAAGTCTTTGAAATGCAGTATGCGTTTTATGCTTACAGCGCATCTCGGTTCAGACTGGCCACATTTAAAGTAGCCACAGCACTGGAACCCATGGGTCTAGGTCACAGCAAAAGGGAACTGAGAAGCTGCTAGAAGGGGCTCACCTGGTGATGTGCTAAGTGAGTTTGCTTCCTCCAGGCAACTCTAGAGACTTGGAAGATGTTCCCCAAGGAGCACTGAATGTTGGAAGTAAAACAACATTCTAGATAGTTCCTCTCCAGATCTTACATTTAGGAGCTTAAGGGTGGCGGGCTGGTTGAAAGGGGAGCTGGGTTTACAGTGTAAGCACACTGTTTCCACCTAGAGTGTGAGTTTCCTAGGCATGGCTTGGGAGAGACCTGATGCAGACTGCGGGGAGGGAGGCCAAATCTCCAGGTCACACCCAAGACCTGCTCTCGTGCTGAGTGAGCTCCTCCCCAGCAGTGTGATACTGAAGTCACAGGAGCTGCAGCAGAAGCAACCACATGGGAATCATTGGCACGTACACCCCATGTGAAGCACTAGATCTGAGACCTTGGCAGATCATCACCAGAGCAGGCGAGGCGGCCAGGAAACGTGTGGTTTATCAGAAACAGCCAGAAACGGGAGAGCGACAATGAGGTTGGACAGCCAGGAGGCTAAGGCCACTGCCGAGGAAGGAACTCCACGGGGTCGCGGGGGTCACCTGGGAGAGAACCTCTCTGACACCGGGGGGAAGGCAGACTGTGGGAGAGACATCTGTTTGTTTTTTCTGGTGCAAAGAGAATAACAAAATGCGATCAGGAGGCTAATAGAGTGCAGATGGGGAACTTCTGGCT